ACAAGAACATTTGTTTACTCACTTTTTTGTTCTTTAACATGGTCAGAAGAAGATGTTTTAGCTAACAGAATTATGAAAGACACCTCATCCCCGTTTTTTGGTTTAATTCTGGAGATCGAATCCACTACTTTTTACATGCTAGACAAGAGCTCTACTACTGAGCTACATCCCCAGACCACATCCAGAATTTTTAAATAAATATATAGTCTACACTAAACATATGTTCAGTCCTCCATTAACAATACACACTTAGGAATGCTCAAGTTTAGCATGTAACCAACATGATTTAATTATAGATCAGAAAAAGAAATTATAAACATAATTTTCAGAGAATGAATGCAAGATTKCACTGAATCTACCAGTATATTATCATTTTCTTTTTACTTTCTTTGGTCATAATTTAAACTATCTTCCCCTCCAATACTTATTCCAACAATATTAATTAAAAGCTTTTCAAAGGTAAAGCAAAAGTCTTTTCTTCATACATCTTCACCTCACCTAATTGCTTTTATACATAAAGGTATAAGCACTTTGTTCTAACTCACTTATCCTTTTAACCACAGAAGTTGAAAAACATTTATTTCATTCAGCATAGTCTCTAATCACAAAATTATAAAGTGAATATCTTGAAAGAGATTATTAGTGTCTACTCAAAAAAACCAAAAAGCCAAGATTAGGAGTTATGTGTAATGAGAAATATAATGTCTCATGTTAAAATCTCACCTTTAATATTGTCTTTATAGAATTTGTTGCTTTCTTCTACAGTACTAAAGCCTGCATACTGGCGGATGGTCCAGGGCCTAAAAGTATACATGGTAGGATAAGGTCCACGTGTGAATGGCTTCACTCCTGGAAGTTCTCCAGGTAAGTCCTTAGTATCCTCCTTGGAATACAAGGGCTTTATAGAGATCCCTTCTGGGGTGTGCCATATTAAGTCTTCTGGGTTTTTGCCTTTCAGCTGTTTTTTGGCCAGGGCAGCCCATTCTGGATGAAGAGGTTTCTGCTGATGTAGACACCGTATCCATCCGAGCCTGGAGGATGATGGTTCTTTTAACTGCTTCAGGTAATGGGGTGAAAGTGAAAAAAGCTGATTCTTTGCCCTCAACATGGTGAAGCATGAAAATACTCAAGGAAATTGAGAACTGATCTAGAAAAATAAAAAAATAGTTTGCATATATTTTAAAATATCCCTTTTGCTACTTTCTGCACCTAATATTGGCTCCTTTTCTCCACATTTACAATTGTTCTAGTTATTCTTCTTCCTCTTTAGACCCTTAGTTGGCTTTACTGACCAGCCTTAGCACCATCTAATCCATTTACCCACTGACACCAGTGCAAATTTTGTCACATTCTCACAAAATTTTTCAAAGGTTCTGCACCATATTGAAGATAAAGTATAAATTCCTATTTTTTTCATTTAAAAGAGTTGTAATTGATATTTACTTCATGAAAGGCAGTACTGTAGCTGGTGAAGAAAAAAAGTGGTAAAAAAATCAAACAGACATCTAAGACTTCCATAACCAGTTTCTGCTAACCTGTCAAACTCACATCTGACTTTGTCCACTCCACATTCTGTGTCAAACTCACGTCTTCCTTTGTACTCTACACATTATATTCTTGAAATACTGGATTCCCTACAGTTCACTGCAGATGCCAAAGATTTATGAGTTTGTTCTGTTCTCCCTTCAGCCTAAAATATCCTGTTTTTATTTAGCTAATTCAGCTAAGGCATTATCTCTTAACATGCATTTTCTGTATGCCAGGCACACAGAAGGCCCTGAGGACTTCACAGAGAGCAGAAATTTTAATTCTGAAAATACCAAGAGGTAGGTATCAATATTGTCCTAATTTTAGAGACTTGAATGTAGAGAGCCTAATTTATTCCTTTCTTCTACTTATTWTTTTTTTTTTTTAAGAAAACAGGGTCTGACTAAGTTGCTAAGGGCCTAACAAAATTGGTGAGGCTGGCCTTGAACTTTCGGTTCTCCTGTCTCAACCTTCCTATAGCTGAGATTACACATGAAAACCACTACACCCAACTGACAGCCTAATTTCAAAGAACTTCCCTTTAATTAATATTTTTCCATACTCCCTGAACCCAGAAGTTGGGCCAAATAGCCACATCAGTAATCTTTCTCCTTCCAGTTTACAGATTGCTCAAACATTAGGGCTATATATTCTATGTATTCTCCTTCCTTCCTTCCTTCCTTCCTTCCTTCCTTCCGTACTGGGGAATGAATCCAGGGATTCTCTATCACTGAGGCACATTCCCAGCCCTAATTTGTATTTTATTTAAAGACAGGCTCTCACTGAGTTGCTTAGTGCCTTGCTTTTGTTGAGGCTAGCTTTCAATTCATGATTCTCTTGTCTCAGTCTCCCGAATCACTGGGATCACAGGTGTGCACCACTGCGCCCCCCTCTATGTATTCTTTTTTTTTAAATATTTATTTTTTAGCTAAAGGTGGACACAATATCTTTTTTTAAAAGAGAGAGAGAGAGAGAATTTTTTAATATTTATTTTTCAGTTTTTGGTGGACATAACATCTTTATTTTATGTGGTGCTGAGGATCAACCCAGCACCCCGCCTATGCCAGGAGAGCGCGTTAGCGCTTGAGCCACATACCCAGTCCCTGGACACAATGTCTTTATTTTCTTTTTATGTGGTGCGAAGATCGAACCCAGGGCCTCATGCAGTCCAGGTGAGCGCGCTACTACTTGAGCCATATACCCAGCCCCTCTATATATTCTTAATAACTAGCATAGAGTCTTACATTAAGTGATGGAGCCAATTTCATCACTTTACAGATATAGAAATTGAGGTTCAGAAAAATAAATAAAGTGGCTTGATCAAAATCCCATAGAGGAAAAGAGTAAACTGTTTATTTGAGTTACTGAATAACTTTAGAGTTATCCAGCCTCAGTATATAGAGATTATCATTTTAAACTATTTTATATGCAAACATCATTAATAAATTTATCATACCATATTATTTTAAACTGGTGAACCCACAAGGTAAATGAATTTTAAATTCTATATTCCATACCATTCCTTAGATTTAATGAAGCATAAAAGACTAACACTATAGGGTCATGAAATAACAAACAATTCACTAGTGGAAGTATTAGCTATAACTGAATTGCAGCATATGCAAATGAAAGAATTTTTATGTAGCTATYTAAATATTTAGGAAACAATAAAAATTAATTTTTATATCAAAAGTGACAAAAGTGGCTACTTATGGTAGCTAGTACAGAAAGGGATCTAGAGGGAACCCATTGAGGTGATAGTCTTGAACTGAATGCCAATTACATAGATGTATTGCATTTGTGGAAATTTATTAAACTGTGAAACTATAAAGTATATGCTTTCTATAAGTATATAAAAATAAATAAAAAGTTAAAACTAGGTTATGTATAGATTTTTTTGAAAAAAAAAAAGTAGACAAGCTCATAAAGAATCAGGGTACATCTTTGTAAATGCAATACACTCAAATAGGTAAAAAGTCCTTAGGACAAAGTCTAAACATAAATAAAATAAAAACAACTCTCATAAGTTTTAAAGGTATTATGGTTTTTATTTTATTAAGCCTGGGGGTCCTTGTCATCCATCTTTTTTCAAGCTACCCTTGTATTTACTAGCTTTAAAGATTAATGAGAAAAATTAACAAGCTATATCTGAACCATTCCTGCAGCAATAATATAAAAGGTAATTTGATAACTGAGACTAAATTGAAGATGGGAAGTACCACATCCATTTCACACAAAATACTCTGAACTTTTCTTCAACTTGGACAAATGACAGGAGAGAGCCTTGTAAAACAGAGACTTCCTGAAAACCAAATGGCAAATTGGGAAGGTTGGAAATTTTTTWAAATAAGAACATAACCACTATTGATGGCAATAGGACTTCTGAATTTTCTTAGAAGATGCATCAGGAAAGGCTTCAAGCATTCAGAGAAACAACATGCAAAACAAATATGATGATTAGAATGGGTTAAATAGAGGTGATAAAAATTCTTCCTCTCACCTTCAGAAAATATACCTAGGGAAAAAAACTCTGAACCAAACCATTTTCAAGTTTGACTGTTCATGTGAGTACCTAAAGAAATAGCTACCTCCATGTTCAGGCATTTTGGATTAGAGATGTCAGTTAATATTAGCAACTAAGGACGTGCAAATTAATATTAGCATAAAGAATTCATTAATTACAAATTATACTGCGTTAAATCAAGTGGCTTAAAACCTTGCATGCTTCCTAAAAGACCTCTTTCTAGAMAAAGCCAAGAGCAAGTAAATATTTTACACTTTGCCGATTTAGACCTGTTTTTCCTATTCCATCTCTCACTCCTAACCCAACTACGTTTTGTCTCATCGCCTTTTTGGAAAAACTCTAATACATGAGCCGGAGACTAGAAGGAAGGCTGCCWTGGAGCCGGGGGGCAACCCCTCTGGAATCATAGGAAAAATGAGCTCTGCTTAATGGGTACTCCTGTGGCCCGAGCTGACAGCGACATTGTTCCTGAACTGAAGAGCACCTTTGCAGTGGTGCCTTCAAATACCCAAGGACCTGAATGAAAATTTAACCCTGAGAAGAAAGAAAGTCGAGAAAAGTGCTATCCTTTCCAGTATGAAGGAAAACAAAAAGAAGGACAGGACAGAGTAGGGGAGATAAGAGAAAAGGGGGTAGAGCAGAGACGAGCCAGAAAAATGAAAATGGAAGTATCTGAAAACCTGACCGGCTCCCAGGTGCAGAGCTCTACTCACTGGCGGACTTGTTGCTGACAGCTCTGTGGGAGAGGGCAGCAGACCCCACGCACACCGCTCCCGCCCCTCACTTGCCAAGAGGTCAACACGTCTGGAAGTCCCGGCAACAACGCAAGCGCGAACGACTCCTAGGCCAATCAGGGAGCCGAGGCTGACACCGCCCTCTGCCAGACCAATCAAATCACACGTTCTGCGAGCGCGCTTCTGATGACGTYAGGAGCAGGCCTGGACGACCGCCTTCTACTGCAAGCATTTCCGCTTTCTTCTCACGTTATTCCGGGTCTCCGGCTTTTGATTATTTGGGCGCGAAGTAGTCTGAGCTCAAGTTCCAGAGAGACTGAAGAAGAATCAGTCAGTGGTGAGTCGTGAATCCAGGTTAAGGGATGAGTTTCTAGCCAACGCGTTTATAGCAAACTCCGAGATTTCTGTTTGACGAGCGAGGCGGTTTTTCAAGGGGAAATGTCCGAAGTCCCAAAAAGTCTGCAACTCAGGAGCCAAAGGCTGAGGTATTTGTTTTTTTCTCCAGGGCGCGAAGCCGCGCACGGTCCTCACTGTGGTCATCCTCCTTGGCCACATTCCTGAAGGTCTGCGCAGTYGGTGGTGCAGCTTTAGAGAGCAGTGTCCGTGTTTCTTCAGGGGTCGTGCACCCTCTTGTGCCCTCTGGGTTGAGCACCCTGATTTGAGCTTCAGCAAGGTGATGGGGAAACCAGATTACGTGGGATACCTCCCTCTTTGGTGTACAGTCCGACTGCAAACTCTTCTTGGTGCCTTGTTTCTTTCTACTCCTACCTTACACTGTGAAAGCCTCGCTGAAGGTTTCCTGCCGTCGACACCAGTTACATTCCCTCTGACCTGCCATTGCTTTTGCCGATTTCTCTTAAATACTTCATTCATTCATTCTTCTTCTGGCTAAATATTTTATTGTAATTCAAATAATGGTTTCTTTAAATACTGTGTATTCCTACATGTGCACGCAATCAAATTTGAGGTATTCATTCAGTCATGTCTCTTTCATAGCAGTTACCACATGATAGATAGGAATTGCCATATCTGTTTCTAGTCACTATGACAAGGCTATGGTTTCCTGTGGATTCAGAAATAGGACAAAATTTCTGTTTCTTTTTATATACACCACAGTTATCTCAAGACGACTTTTGTTTATTGAGTTCTTACTGTAACCCAAGTATTGTTCTATGCACTTTATATGTTCTGTAATAAATCATTTTAGCCCCTCAGCCACTCTGATGTTAGTACTCTTATTAAGCTATTTTACTAATACAGAAACTGAGTTAATTATTTCAAAGCTATATAGCTTGTTAAGTGGCAGAGCTAGGATTTGCAGCCTGGACAATTTATTTATCCTCATCCCTGGCTTACTCTTAACCACCATACAGTGGTTATCAACATAGGGCGGTTTTGCACCAGGGGAAATTTCACAATGTGTGGAGACATTTTTGGTTTTCACTCTTTGTGAGTGGGTGGATTCTAGCTTCTGAAGCATGATGACAAGGAATACTTCTAAATATCCTACAGTGCATAGGATAGCCTCCTACAACAACAACTCCAAAAATTATCCCATACAAAATATTAATAGTGCTGAGGTTTAGAAACCTTTTATGTTGTGTTTTATGATCTCAAGTAAGTATTAAAACAATTCTTTCTAAAATCTTGACAAAGGACTGATTTTTTTWAAAAAATCTTGTCATACACAACTGATACTTTCTTAAAATACAATTTAAAATTTATTATTCAAACCCATAGACTGTACAACATCAGTAATGGACTATAATCTAAATTATGGATTTGGGTTGATATGATAAGGTAGGTTTGTTGTAGCAGCTCCAGTACTTTGGTGTTAGATGTTGATGGGGRAAATTGGAGTGGATTGGCATAGGCAGAGGCTATATGGGAACTCCCTATATTTACTGCCCAGTTTCACTGTAAAACTATAATTGGTCTAAAAATAAAGTCCACTCTTTAAATATTACACCAGAAAAATGAGATTCAAAAAACAAGGTCAATTATTTTATGATTAGACTTGACATACATAAAATTGCTTTTTCATATTTTATGGAAACTTTTATTATGCTCAATTTCTTTTTGTAGTTTTTATTAGAGCATTATAATTTATACTTAATGGTGGGACTCATTGTGACATTCATAAATGCACATAACATACTTTGATCAATCTCATTTCCCTGTACCTCCCCTTTCCCTACTTCCTCTACTCGTCTCCATTGTATTTTTTTAATTAGTGCATTATAAGTATACATAAAAGTGAGGATGATTGTGTATATTCATATATGGACATAGTGTAATTTGGTCAGTTTCATTCCACAGTACCTTCTCTTTCCCTCTTCCCTTTGAATCTCCTTTCTTACTCTATTAGTCTCCCTTTTATTGTCATGGGATCACTTTTTTTTTCCATCTGTTTTCCACATATAAGAAAAAGAATTCAATCCTTGACTTTCTGAGTCTGGCTTACTTCACTTAACATAATATTTTCCAGTTCCATCATTTACCAACAAAGGGTATAGTTTCATTCTTTATGGCTGAGTAAAACTCTATTGTGTGTGTGTGTGTGTGTGTGTGTGTGTATATATATATATATATATATATATATATATATACACATTTTCTTGAACTATTCATCTTTTGACAGACATCTAGGCTAGTTCCATAAGTTGGCTATTATGAAATATGCTGCTATAAACATATGCATGTGTGTATCACCATAGTATACTGATTTTAATTATTTTGCATAAATACCAAGTAGTGGAATAGCTGTGTCATAGGATCATTCCACTGCTAGTTTTTTGAAGAATCTATACTGATTTCCACAGTGGATGTTCTAAATTTTAGTCCCATTAACAATATGAGACTTTTTCCTTACACTCTTACCAGAATTTATTATTTGTATTCTCTCTCTCTCTCTCTCTCTCTCTCTCTCTCTCTCTGGCACCAGGGATTGAACTTAGTGTCACTCAACCACTGAGCCACATCCCCAGCCCTATTGTATTTTATTTAGAGATAGGGTCTCACTGAGTTGCTTAGCACCTCGTCATTGCTAAAGGTGGGTTTGAACTCACAATCCTCCTGTCTCAGCCTACTGAGCTGCTGGGATTACAGGCATATGCCACTGTGCCCCACTATTATTGTATTGTTGATGTTTGTTATTCTATCTGAGGTGAGACAAAATTGCAGTATAGTTTTGGTTTGCATTTCCTTAATTGCTAAGGATATTGAACATTTTTTTTCATATATTTCTTGGCCATTTGTATTTCTTCTTTTGAGAAATGTCTGTATAGATTATTTGCCCATTTGTTGATAGGGTTATTCTGTTTTGTTTTTGTTTTTTAATGTTAAGTGTTTTTTGTTCTGTGTATATTCTGGATATTAATCTGTTGAAAGAATAGTTGGTTGAGATTTTTCTCCCATTCAGTAGACTCTCTCTACACTCTTGGTTTCCTTTGCTATGCAGAAGCTTTAATGTGATACCATCCCACTTGTCCATTCTTGGTTTCATTTCTTGAGCTTTAGGAGTCTCATTAAGGAAGTCTGTGCCTGTGCCTATATGCTGGAGTGCTGGAATATTCATTCACCTTTTGTTTTCCTCTATCAGTTGTAAAATTTATGGTCTAATATTCAGGTCTTTGACCCACTTTCAGTTGTTTGTTGTGCAGGGTGAGAGGGATCTAGTTTTATTCTTTGCCAATTAATATCCTATTTTCCCAGCACCATTTGTTTAAATGGCTATCCTTACTCTCACATATGTTTTTGACTCCCTTGCCAAAGATCAGATAAATGTATCTATGTGGATTTGTGTCTGTGTCTTCTATTCTATTGATTTACATGTCTGTTTTTATGCCAGTACCGTACCTTTTTTGTTACTCTAGCTGTGTAGTATAATTTGAGATCAGGTGTTTTGATGTTTCCAGCCTTATTCTTATTGTTCATAATTGCTTTGACTATTATTAATATTTTATTCTTTCATGTAAATTTTAGGACTTTTTTCTAGTTGTGTGAAAAATGTATTTGATATTTTTGATGGTGTAACACAAGGTCATGTGAGTGCTGGAGGGTTTTTGTCTCATGCACCCAAAGAATGAAGTACACCATGATGAGGGTGAGAATGCAGTAGCAGATTTATTAGAAGCAAGCAAGGAAAGCTCCTACAGCATGGGAGGGGTCCCAAAGAGGGACTGCCTAGGAGTATTTATACTGTTTTGATGAAGAACCAACCTTTCAGTGGAAAGTTCCCCTTTGATTGTTCTCTTTCTCTGTCTCAATTGAAGGTGCACAACTTTAATTTCTTATTCCCATAATGGGATTATTTAGTGTGTTTGTTTACCTGAATTTATCTGTACTTGTTCCTTAAAACAAAAGAATTGCTTGGGTTCAAAACAACTTAATGAGGTTAACTAATATTAGAGTAGTTAAGGAAACTTGGGGCAACAACAGAATGTATGGGTATCTAAGCATGAGTGGGGTCTTCTACTCAGACAACCAAAAATAAAAACAAAAAAATCAAGCTTTAGCCTAGGGTTTTAATCCGGGGTTGTGGTCCTGCCTCAGTGGGAATGCATTGAATATGTAGATTGCTTTTAGTAATATGACCATTTTAAAAATGTTAATTCTGCCTATCCAAGAACATGGATGGTCTTTCCATATTCTAATGTCTTCTTCAATTTCTTCCTTTAAGGTGCATGCAGTGGTGCATGCCTGTAATCCTAGCAAAGCAGGAAACTAAGGCAGGAGGATCCAGGTTCCWTGCTGGCCTGAGCAACCCAGTGAGAGTAAAAACAACAACAACAACAAAAACTGGGGAACTAGGGATGTGGCTCAGGTAGAATGATTCAGGGTTTGATTCTCAGTTGCCCTAGGGGAGTGTTCTGGGGGAGTGGCTTATAATTTTCATTATAGAGGTCTTTTAACCAAATCTAAATTTGATTAGATTTACACGGGGGGGCAGGTACGTTCATTATTGCTGGATAGAAAAGCTATTGATTTTTGTATATTGCTACTTTGCTCAATATCAGCTCTGGAAGTCTGGTGGAGTTTTTTGGATCTTCTATGTGTAGTATCATATCATCTACAAATAGATAAGCTGATTTCTTCTTTTCCTATTTATATCCCTTTAATTTCCTTCTTTGTCTTAATTATTCATTACTAAAATTTCAAGTACTATATTGAATAGGAGTGGTAAGAGTACATTGAATACCTATACTTAAAAAAATCCCAAATAAACAATCAATTGTTACATTTCAAGGCCCTAGGGAAAAAACTAATTCCAACTGGAAATAATTAAGATCAGACCCAAAATTAATGAAATTAAAAAATAGAAAACAATAGAAAGGATAAGTGTAACATAAAGTTGGTTCTTTGAAAAGACATATAAGATGTATATACCCTGGTGAATTAACCAAGAGAGACAGAACACCCAAATCAATTAGAGATGAAAAAGGAGATATCACCACAGACATAGCTGAAATCCAGAAGATGTCCAGAGACTAATTTGAACATAAACATTTCAATAATTTGGAAAATTTAGAAGATACTGACAAATTTCTAGTCTCATGACTTACCCATACTGAGCTAGGAAGATAGAGAAAACCTCAACAGACCAAAACACAAGCAGCAAGATTGAAGTGGTAATAAAAAGCCTTCCAACAAGAAAAACTCAGGACCAAATGGATTCTCAGCTGGATTCTATAATATCTTTAAAGAACTTGTGCCAGTACTCTCCAAATTATTTCTATGAAATAGGAAGGGAACCCTCCCAAATCCATTCTATGAACACAGTATCACCCTGATAATAAAATCAGGTAAGAATACATCAAGGAAGGAAAACTAGACCAAAATCCCTGATGAATATAGATGCATATATCCTTAGTAAAGATTAGCTGTCCACATTTAAAAGCACATTAAGAATATTGTACAACATGATTAAGTTGTTTTCATTCAGATATGCAAGTTTGGGTCAATATATGTAAACCAATAAATATATAACATAAATATAATTAAGGACTGAAGTTGCATACATGATCATTTTAATAGATGCAGAAAAAGCCTTTGATGGTATTCAGCACCAATTCGTGTTAAAAAACGGTGTAGAACTAGAACAAGAAGGAACTTCATCAAAAGTTCTGTATATGTATGATACACCCAAAGCTAGCATCATAATGAATGGAGAAAAACAAAGCATTACCTCTGAAGTTATTCTCAATTTCTGTTCTTAAAGGAATTGCACCAATTTGAGAATCAAATTTAAAATAGTACTGAATTACATGTTATTGGGTAAAGAATATTAAGAGAAAGTGAATAACATCCAAACTGTAAGTATAAAATGAGAGAGGACATAAGAGCCCATAAACTTTGGAATAAATGAAGTAGCATTTTTAGGTAGGCTTTGGGAAGAAGATGGCTCATAATCTGAGAGGATAGGTAAGATAGGGGAGATAGCAGCTCAGGCAAAGGAACAGTGTGTACATGAATGGCAGAATTACCAGTAGGAGAGAAGTATGTTTAGAAAAGGAATGGTGAGTACTTTATATATCCAGTATATGTACCTATAAACAATGTATGCATATATATATGTGTGTGTGTGTGTGTGTGTGTATACATATTTCCTGTGTACTATACCTATCTTGTAACCTATTTACTCCTGTGGTCTAGTATAAGAATACATAACTCATTCCTCTATCATCTTTTCCATAAATGGGAAAACCCATTACTTAAAATCAGAAGATATTATTCTTTGATCTGACATTTTCTGACTCTTTATAATTTTTTGATATTAACATGGAGATAACGTATRGAGGATAGGAGGTGAAAGATGCAAAAGCATTTTTAAATTATTATTAAAGCCATCAAAATTGAAACAATTTCAAAAAATAAAATTGAATTAGATCTCCTGATATAAAAAAGCCAAATTATTTGTTTTAAAATGTATTAAAAACATATAATACTCTCCCTAAAACTTATTTAAATTATTATTTTTAAAGAAGGAAAAATTATAACAAAACATTGTATTGGCTTTAGCATTTTTCAGTGTTCTTTTCATTTTTACACACTTTTTAAAACATTGTTACTCTTTTACTATGTAGATCGAGATGCCTGGTAAAGCAAATGCTTCTAAGAAGAAGTCTCAACAGTTGAAAAGAAGTTCAAAAAGAAAAATTGRTAATGAGGAACTGGAGTTGTCCAAGAAACAGGTAATGAAAATATCAGGTCTTACCATTTAGTACTCTTTTGATTAGGAACATCGTCTCTTGTATTTGAGAAAATACAAGAGGATCAGACTTCGTAAAGATTATAAAATTCATCTCATAGTCTGGAAACCTTTCTAACATCTAGGAAGTTGTCAAATAAAAATTGTTACTTCCAAATCTAAAAATAAACATTGACCATAGAATTCTTGGAGGAAGAAGGGTCCCTGGGGGTTTTGCTAAGATGTTTAAATGCAAAGGTTAGGAATAAAGTCTATGCGTTCTTATCACATTTCTATGTTAAAAGATAAGAGTCTGTCTTTTGGTGTAGATTTTTATTAGCATAGAGAGAAAATAGTTTGGGGGGAAATTTATAATTCTAACTAAATTTGCCCCCCTCTCCTTTTTTTTTTTTTTTTTTTTTTTTTTTTTTTTGTACCAGGGATTGAATACAGTGGTGCTTAGCTACTTAACCACAGCCTTTTTGTTTGTTTTTTTGTTTTTTGTTTTTTTGTTTTTTTGTTTTTTTTTTTTTTTTGAGACAGTGTCTCACTAACTAGCCATCCTCCTATCTCAGCCTCCCTGGAATTACAGGCATATATCTAGCAGCCCTTCCCTATTAAAGAATACATGAATAACCAGCAACTTTTTTTCTACCCACAAGAGGGTATATGAATCCTCTTCAATATATATGACAAATCATTGTTACGATGATATTTATCTGTTGTTTAATTCTGTGTGTGTTTCCTTTTAGGTTAGAAACACAGGAAAAAGAAATAAAAATCATCCAAAGAATTTGTCTTCTGAAGGTATTCCTTACCTATATCTAATCTACCATGTGACTTTTTCAAGCCGTGAACAAATTTTCAGCATCTTGTTTATGGATTCTGCAAAAGCTAAAGATAATAATAAATCCCAAAATTCAGATTTTTGTAAGATATGGTTATTATTTTGGTCAACTGAAATTTTACTGTATATCTCCAATAAAATACCATCTAGACTTCTATGCAACTAAGTTGATAGGACTAGAGAAAAATCATATCACAATCTGAATTATTACTGATCTATGAATAGAGACAAACCTACTTATTTCTCTTCAAGACAAATATGCTTTATGTTCTATCACTACTGTATAACTGTATAGATTAGTTTTGAACCACTAAGTTTGTTTGGAATAATTAGTTTGAAGTTGTTGCTTTCTTAAACATTGCCTCTTTTTTTCCTTATGTGTGTGTGTGGGGGTGGTGGTAGGGATCAAACCCAGGGCCTCACATATGCCAGGCAAGTGCTGTAGCACTGAGGCACATCCTCAGCCCCATTGAACATCATTTCTTCATTGGTATGATTTGTGTTTTTCCTCCCCAAAGATGAGGTTCTGGTTTTATACTTCCATAGGGCACAGTCCTTTTTTCTTTTCTAATGCTCTGCACATCTGTAATTTTTTAACATTGTTTTTCTTCAAACGGATATTTATGGGAGCCAATACTATGTATTCTTGTTTATTCCTTCTAAGTACAATGTAATCCATACTGAACATCTATTTGTGGTTCCATTAGTCTGTTTTGTTCCAGTTCTGATCCAATATTTGGTAGAAATCATTTTCTTAGTGAAGTTCTTAAGGAATTCAAGTCATTTCTGAGTACCAAGCTGTAATAATTATAGCTTAGTTCTTCAATTAAAATTATTTGAGCTGGGCACGGTGGTGCACGCCTGTAATCTCAGTGGCTCAGGAGGCTGAGACTAGGAAGATCGGGGGTTCAAAGCCAGTCTCTGCAAAGCGAGGCACTTAGCAACTCAATGAGACCCTGTCTCTGAATAAAATACAAAATAGGCCTGGGGATATGGTTCAGTGGTTAAGTGCTCCTGAGTTCAATCCCTAGTATATTTGAAGTTTGTATTCCAGTATTAGTGTTTCAGTTAACATAATAGTAGGCAAAAAAAAAAAACCCTCATATTCAACTCCTTGCACGTTATAGCTATGTAATAAAAGTGAATTTTTTTTGTTTTCATAATTCCCTTAACGTTTTTAGATTTTAAAAAAAGTAATTTTTAAGTAAAAACAAGCAAGCTTTCTGAATTGACCAAAGTCTTTTTCTATTATCAATAACAGAACAAATAAAACATACTAATCTAAAACAGATAAAGATAGCATCCAACAAGAGAAAAACCTGGCAACTTCTTTCAAACAGTACCAGAGAGCATTTGCAAACTATGATAGAATCAGTAATAATGTGAGTATACAATTTTTCCTTTTAACTTATTTGTTTCCTATAGACATTTTTTTAAATATCACTATATGTTAAAGTGATGGATTCCTTTTCTGTTTCAGAAGAAGATAAATTTAATACCTTATGAGGGCATTAACCTTCTGCAAAAAGTCTTCTTTAATTTTTGAAACTTAAGATTCTGTCAGTGAAATAAAAGTCTAGTCTTTGTGGCCTGATCTGCTTTCTGTAAAAATTTTAATTTGTTCTGTCAATAAGGATGCTGGAAGAAATTGAGTTCAAAGTGATTCTTTCTATGGAAGCTACAATGCTATTGGGGATACAAAGAAATTAAGACAGAATTCTGCTATTGTAGAGCTAAATTCTATCAGAAGAGTGAGGCACAAAAATTCTTATAATATAATGATTTTTAAAATTGCATTATACTTTGGTTTAAAACATATTTAATATAAAAGGAAAAGTGATTGATTCTGCCTGTCTAGTAAAGAGGATCACTAGAGAGGATTCAGAGAGAAAAAGTACACATATTCATTTGTGTTTTAAATAAATATTTATTTAAAATGTTTTTTTCCTAGAGCAATTTTGAGTAACAAAATTAAAGAAAAGGAACAAATACAATGTCATCTCAACTACCTGAAGATAAGGTAATATAGTTATGCAACTAAAAAATGTCTAATTTTTTAAAGTCTGATTTTGTTTCTGTTGCTAAAATTGACATTTATGAAATGTAAGTTTTTTTTTTAATAAAGTACATAGCTTAGAAATATGTGTTCTCACCTAAACTGCTGCTGCATGTGTTAATGAAATAATTTCAGTTTCAGAGAATTTGTATAAAATACCAAGAATCACAAAACTCTTATTGCCATGTTTCATTGTCCTGTGTCAAAATTTGAAAAATATTTCAACTTTAACTTCTTTAGACTTCATTTTTAACAATTTGAAGTTAACAATTCACTATTGTATTTTTAAMCATTTTCTGTGGTTTTTCCTCCACTTCATGTTGTGTTATCCTTTTTGCACAAGAAGCAGGTATAATTTTACAAGATATTTTTGCTCTTTATGTTGTGACAAGTCATTAACAGGTTTCTTTTCAAATGTTCTTAAAAACCACACCACTGCCCATGATTTTCAGTGATTACTTTTCTCTAGTATTAGCACAACTATTCTTTTCATAAAATCATGTTTTACATCTCAGTTTCAGGTTAGCCTAGAAATGTCTGTGAACTAGTTTTTTATCTTCTATGAGTCCTTTGAGCACAAATTTTATTTCCTTTTCTTTAGTTCTCAACCCATAGTAGCAAAATAAGAGTGGGATAGAATGGGGTAGGTGAGGGTAGGAGTTTGTTAAAAGAAATTGAACAGATTAAAGAAGGACTACTGGAAGCAAGCTTATAAGCTTCATAAAGATATAATGGCCACTATTAAAGAACAAGGAGGATACCAAAAAAAATTAATGAATAGAAGTATAATAAAACCAGCTATATAAACTCATAAGACAGTGACAAGTATGATGACGCATACCTATAATCCCGGCAGCTCCGGAGGCTGAAGTAGGAGGATCACGAGTTCTAGACCCAGCCTCAGCAGTTTAGTTAGACCTTAAACAACTTAGTAAGACCACGTCTCAAAATAAAAAAAAAATTTAAAAAGGGCTGGGGATGTGGCTTAGTGGTTGAGTTCCTCTGGGTTTAACCTCTAGTACCAAAAAAAAAAAAAAAAAAATTTAACTTTATAAGACAAACAGTGTTGCTTAGCATATGAATGACAATATCATAGTACATAATAATTGTTGTCAGAAAAGATGAAATTATATTCAACAGATAGGCAGTTCTCTTCATGTAGCTATGGAGATATATATTTCAAAGCCTGCCTATTTTCTTTACATTTTTACTTTCACAACTCACTTTCTTTAGTTACCAAAATAATCATCTTACTGATATTCTTAATTCTGACACAACAGAGTGCAGCATTAGAATCTATACCAGGTCCTAATTAGAAATCTGAATAAATATTTTTATAGCAGCATTTCTCAAAGCGTATTTGAAACACTTGTTGTTAAAGTTATTCTATGAATAACTATAATCTGTGACAAATTATATTTGGGTATATTAACATATCTCTACAGTAAATAAATGTATTTCATTTTGTTTAACTTAGCATCTGCCAAATTGATATTTACTACTGGAACCTATTTTCACTTATTAGTCTTGTTTCTGCTTTTCTCTGCATGCTATCTTCATTCTTTTAGTTCTTTTTAGCTATCAGTTGTTTTCTCTAGATTAAAAACGTAAACATACAGCTCCCTATCCTACATCTTTCAGTCTTATTAAAAAAAAAAAAAAAAAAACAGGAAAAAAATACTTTTATCCCCTTACTTCAGTTAGAAAATTCTGGGATATAGTCTCAGACCCAGCTTAGGTAATGTGCTTCTTGGTGTTGAATTAATTTTGTGGTAAAAACTCTCATGTATGATTAATGTAAATGGGTTAAGTAGACTCTCTTAACCCAACAATTCACTATTAGTAATAGATTTATGTGCCATCATAGTTTAAAAAACATTTATAAGGGCTGGGACTGTGGTTCAGCGCAGAGTGCTCACCTAGCCCGTGCAAGGCACTGGGTTCGATCCTCAGCACCAAGATATTGTGTCCAACTTCAACTCAAAAAAAAATTTTTAAAGAAACATATATAGATAATAAAAGGAAAATTTGATTTTAAAATACATGTAAGTTGTTAAGTGTGTAAAATAAAAAGTGTTCTTTTGGTGAAAAGCCATGATCTGAGATAATTCTTCATAAATTTTACCAGAACGTTTTTGGGGAAGGAGGGACAGGAGTTTCTACCATAGTTTAGCCATTGTTGGTAGAAGAATTTTATAGCCTTTATGAATATCAGGACAGAAAAAAAGAGAGAGAGAGAGAGAGAGAGAACTGTTTGAAAACAGAAATAAACAATCATATTTTATTCTATGCTTAAGATTACTACAGTTGTGTGAAACTATGAAAGTCCCTCCCAGAAAGCTGAAATATTTAACTGATGTTTCAAATCTACTGAAAATGGAAAAGGCACAAGAAACAGCTAATGAAGAAGGTTTGGCATTATTGCAGGTATGGAATTTGAATAGAGAATCCATAATTAGAAGGTTAGGGGGAAGAGAGACTTTAAAAAATATTTTTAAGAATTACCATAATATTTGGGGTCTCTGAAGTTGAAATGTTTCTGATATAATTGTGGTGAAGTAATAGTCCTATTTTTGTTGTTGTTGTTGTTTTCTATCAAACTGTTTTAATATAACTGTCTTAATATTTTTAATTATAAAGTTATAGGAATTCATCACTAGATGCCATAGAATCTCAAAACATTAGTTTCATCCTGTATATGGCAAGAAGATATAATCATTGTATTATTGTTATCATAGCTTAAGTGTATTGAGGGCTTTCTATATAGTTATATTTCTTAATCCTCACAGTAAGTTGGAGTCTACCTTAATTATCTCATTTTACAAATGGGAAAAAAATACATACATTGTTATTTCTAATGGAACCTTAAAACAAACTGCTTCAAGTTGAGATGCTAATCTCATCGGTCTGACTTTAGAGCTTGATGCTTAATCATTATGCTATATTGCTTCTTAACAGGAAATAACCTTAGCCATCTTGGTGAACTTTAAGAATTTTAATTTGTGGATATATGAACAAATAAGAACCTTAAAGAAGCTTATCAATTAATTACAAAAACTAAAACAATTTGGACCAAGTATTCTTTAAACATTTTTTTTTTTTTTTTGTAGTTGTAGATGGACCGAATGCCTTTATTGTATTTGTTTATTTTTATGTGGTGCTGAGGATGGAACTCAGTCCCTCACGCATGGTAGGCAAGCGCTCTGCCACTAAGCTACAGTCCCAATCCTCCTCAAACATTTGAAGTAGTTTGTAGATGTGGTGATTAGGTCTTTGTTAGCAATTCTGATTGCAAGATAGTAGAGGTAGTAGTGCTTTATGCAAACAATATATCCCCAAGAATTTCTAGCATTTTTTCAAAATTCTCAAGTAATTCATTCCAGCCTTCCATAGTTTTAAGAATTTAGTGGAAGAGATAGGAGCCACAGATCTAAATATATTATAAATAAATAGGGGTTTTTTGTTTTGTTTTGTTTTTTGTTTTTTGTTTTGGTGGTTGCCTCATTTATTCCTAGTGTAATACTACCTTTAGTTTCTACCCCCAGTGTTACTACTTTATCAGGGTGTCTTTTTAGTATTGGCACTACCTCCACCACTTAATAAACACTGAGATGATATCAGTTAGGTTATCTTTTTAAGATTCTAGTGAGGGCTGGGATTGTGGCTTAGCGGTAGAGCGCTTGCCTCGCACGAGCGGGACCSGGGTTCGATCCTTAGCACCACATAAAAATATAAACATGTTGTGTCTACCGAAAAACTAAAAATATTTAAAAAAAAAGATTTTAGTGAATAATAATGGTGAATGTTATTTTAATATTTAATATTTCCACAAATCAATTAAAAATATTCAGAAGTAGTAAGCCATAGTGTGATTTTTATAATACGGGGAAACATTTCTGTTTTACAGTTAAAATAATACATCCATGTGACAGAAACAAATACTGTCTAAGCCTTGTGGTAGTCAATTACTCAGTGAAAGCACTACTGGTGTTTTGGGCAGAGTTTATTTACATAAGATGGTCTTCAAATTAGTAGTTTTTAAACTGTTTGTATACATTAGTTTTCTCTTATGTTTCTTACTTGGAAACATTGCTTTTTCCCTCTGCAGCCTAGAGTTATTGTTAGTAATTTTCTGAAACCTGTTAATAGTAACACAAGTTTTTCTCCTATATAACATGATTGATTATTGTGCTCTTAATGATGATGYTAAGTAAAAGGAAACTCTGAACAAAGTCTCATATTCTGGGAAGATGGCATTAAAACTGCTGAGGCATTGTTTTTTTAATCTCCAGATCTTTCATAACAATGGAGCGATAGGATTTCAAAATCAGCATAAACAAATGTTGAAAATGAGGAACAAAAATAGCATTCCTATAGAAAAATTTTAAAAAGCATGCCAGAAGGACAAGGGCACAAAACAGAAGAACACTAACCTAATATCTCAACTGAGTTGAAAGAAATTGAAAAAAATGATAGAAGGTGTGGGAAAAAAATTGTAAATCAGTGTTAAAACTACTAATAAATGAAGTTACAGAATTCAGGAAAGAATTAGATATTTAGGTAAATAGTTTGCATTTGCAAGTTAAATTAGCAGAAACACTAAAGCAAATAGACTGAACAGATCATGTGTATGAGTAAAAAGAAGATAAACAAGAGAAAACAATTTAAATCATAAAAAAATGTTTTTTAAAGGAATTGAAAAAGAATGACAAAATTTTGATGAAGAAACAGCATGAGAATGATAATAATACTCAAAGAGGATAAGCAAAACAATGCTACAAAAAAATTCTAAAAATTTTTTAATGAAAACTTTTAATCCTTATTATAGGTAACTTTTTTCTTTGTGAGACCCTRTCTTAAAAAAAGGGGATGGGCATGGGCTAGGAATGTTGCTTAGTGGTTAAGCACCTCTGAGTTCAATCCCTGGTACAAAAAAAAAAAACAAAAAAAATAAAACAAGAATTAAAGTCTTCCTCTGTGGAATTTGCATTCTAGTGAGTTAAATTCACAGTCTCACACTTTAGGCACTCAAGGATTGGCACACTTCTCCTGTAACAGGCCAGGCAATAAACAAGTTAGATTTTGTGGAACACATATTTTCCCTGTTGCATATTCTTTTGGTTTGGTTTTTAACTCTCATTTAAAAATGTAAAAACCATTTATAATTCTTGAAGTTTATTAAAGCTGTAATTGGCAGTTACCAATACCTGCAGGTGCACTTTTAAGAAAATAGCCATTTAGAATTTATATTTTATATAAATATTATATTTCTTGAAGAATACTGCTATAATTGCCAGCAGCAATTCTGCTTCCAGTATTTGCAGAAGAACATCGATGTAGCATTGGCTGTATTGCTGAACAGTATTAAGAGTTATTACCTCTAAATATTTTCTTTAAGATGTATTTAATTGTTCCCTAACTCCCAGAAGCATTGCTATCATTAACTGTTGCTAGGAATTTCAGTACAGTACTTAATACTCTTTAGAATTCTGGAAGCTAACTAATTCTATACTTGGCCTACAACCAGCTCATTCCTTTGTTTTTTCCCATACTCATTTCATTCATGTCTGTGGGAAACTGTCACTTTTTTTTATTACTATCCCAGCTCTAATGATCAGTATTGCCTTCTTTGACAAACTAAAATAGCAGACATGCAAATGTTCCTAACTAAATGAAAAAACTTTGAAATTAGTTTCTCTGCTACCTGAAGTTATACGTAAGGAAGGCTGCTATATGTGCTTATTATCAGTTCTTGGACTCACATTTGGGTCCTCAAGGATCTCTGATACTAGCAGCTTTAGTAAGTTTTTGAAGAAGCATTCATGGACATAGAGTATATCTCCTTATTCCAGTAAAATTCAGTTTCATTTTAAGGCATTATTACATTGGCAAAACAGCTTTCTAGGAAGTCAGTTTTTTGAAAGAAACAGAAAAATTCAGTATTTTCTTCCCAAACTGTCTTAATATATGAGGTTTTTAAGACTATCTATATATGTATATGCATATATAAACATAGATAATGGAGTTAATTTGATAACATTTAATTTAAATATTAATTGTTTTTTCTTTCTGATTCAGGAAGAAATAGATAAAATGGTAGAGACCACAGAATCAATGACTGAAAATATTCATAGACTAAAGAACAAAATTCAAATTGTGGCACATGAGGTAGAAGAAGAGGAGGAAAAGGTAAAACAGGTAATTGCTTAAAAATATGTTGCTGAAAAAAGAATGAAATTATGATATTTGCTGGTAAACAGATGGAAATGGAGAAGAATAAGTGAAATAAGCCAAACTCAGAAACTGAAAGATCAAATGTTTCCTCTAATATGTGAAAGCTAGAGTAAAATAAAGGAAAGGGGGAGGAGAGGATAGGTTAACATAGAGAACCAATTGATTATAAATTAATAGATGAGTAAAAGGAAGTCTAGTAAAGAAAGAAAAATGGGAGAGAAGAGGGTGGAGTAGAGGAAAAGGAGGAGGGAAAAAGGGGCTCATGAACTGAAATTAGTTCCCATGTGTGTATGTCAGAATGAACCCAACTACTTCATGTAACTGTAAAGTTCTAATAAAAAAATAAAAAATTATATTGCTGGAATTTAGATATAATTTTTAATGCTTAAATTTTAATAAGATAACTTTGGAGAATAATAAAATGGTCAATATCTATATTTTCAAATAATGTCTAGTTTTCTGTTTCTATGTTAGATGCTTCAAATGGATTGTAGTGGGGTACTCTCTCTTCCAGAACTTTCTCAGAACAGTCTTAAAGCACCCACACTTCACGTAAGTACCCATTTACCCTACTGACTGTATCACCAAGTATGAATTCCATATATGTAAAATTATATCCTATTCCTTCCTTTAAAAAAATCTAATCCTGAGAAAAACGGGCAAATCACTTATCTCATTTGAATGTATAGTTTGAACATATCTCCTTGTTGGTTCATATAGTTCTCTCATTCTTTTGGGGGGTGGGAGGTACTGGGGTTTGAACTCAAGGGCACTTGACCACTGAGCCACATCCCCATCCCTATTTTGTATTTTATTTAGAGACAAGGTCTCACTGAGGTGCTTAACACCTCACCTTTGCTAAGTTGGCTTTGAACTCACAATCTTCCTGCCTCAGCCTCCAAGCTGCTGGGATTACACCATGCCTTGCTAGATTTCTCATTCTTGTCCATAGCTTGTTGGTAACATTTCATTGCACAGTTATACCAAGATATAATTGTGATGAAAATAAAGAACTTTTGTGTTACAGATGATGCTATACACACAGGAGCGTGCACACACACAAACACATACACACACACACACACACACACACACTATTACAACTGTAGAATACATTTTGAGAAATAAATTTTAACAGTTGTTTTTATTTTATTTTGTTGTTTTTCTATCCATAATCCACCAATGGTGAGAGGAGCAGGAATAGAAAAAGGGAAAGATAGATTTGAAAGATGAATAGTCATGAGTGGTGATTTGGATGGTGGATACTTGACACTATTATACTGTTCTCTCTAAATAACAGGCATTTTTCATAAGAAAATATTAAAAACTGATTACACCATTTTACCTACAGAAAGAAATTTTGATGCTAATTCCAAACCAAAATGCTCTTCTAAAGGACTTGGATGTTCTTCACAGTTTATCCCAGATGAAGAACTTGTCAATGTTCATCGAAGAAGCCTATAAGAAACTAGATGCCTCATAAAGAATTTTTTTTTAAGATTGTTTCATATTAATTTAATGTTTATGAATTTATAAAACTGTTAACTTATGATTGTATTACAGAGGCCAAAGCCTAGTATGCACTTAAAATTAGCATCTAATGTAGTCCTGAAAACTCTGTTTAGAGCAGCTGCTAAATCTAGAAGATCAATATTTATATTGTTGTATCTTGCAGTTATTTGCCTAAACACATAAAATAATAGTCCTGACCTAATGATTTATAATGACTGTATGAAGCTCATTTATTGGTTAGCATATAATTGTCATATCGTGACTTCTTATATATAAAGTGTTTATGTATAGTGCCTAATGAATAATTATGTAAGTATTTGCTGTCACTCATTCTTTAGCTGATAGCTTGTTTTTTGTTGTTGTTGTTGTTTTTGTCTAGTCACCTGGAACTTGAGAAATTCCCAAATGCCTTCACTTTTACCTAACTCACAAACTTTTTGTGGAGTGATTAAGACTTGCCAGGTATCTTTAACTTTAAAAGTAACATCAAATTTTATTTCTTTGGTTGGTTAAGGAATAGATGTTGAATATTTATTTTCTGCCTTCATCAAAGTATAGTTTTATTTTTAAAAATTATTATTAAACAGGAACCTAAGCACATTTAGACCTTGAAACAAAAATCAACCAAAAAACTGTTTTGAGAAAGCTGAGTGTATAAGAACTGACTGCCAAAGGTAAACTATATTGAAACCTAAGAAGGCAGTGGACAAATTCAGGATTATATAAAATGCAGTTTATTAAAGACTGTAAAGAATCCCTTTACCCTACAGCAGGAGGAAGGTATCTCACAGCCAACCAAAATGCACCTTGGCTTTCTCAAATACTGTTAACATGTCAAAAGTCAGTCAAGAGACAATTCAGGTGTTAGTGTCCCACACAAATGCTTAGCTGACTAACTTAATGAATTTGCTTATTGTACAGAGTTTGGAATACATAGTCACCATGGTGACCACCAGGGTCACCTGGTGACCAGATGATGTTTACTACTTATGTGGCTATTGTCATTTTAAACTGGACCCCCACAAATCCCTTTCTTATAAATTTGTCCTTATTATGTAGTAAGCTTATTTGTGTCAATAAGTGATTGCTATAAATATATGAAAAAACTTTCCTAAACCACTACTGTATATTGTCTTAGTTCTTTTATCTGTTTGTAAAATAAATTAACTACCATTTGTTTTTCTGTCTGAGAATCTTTTTCTTAATTTATTTAGAAGATGCCATAATTCTGTTAATATCTTCCAGGCAGAGACCACCAGGAACACATCTGTAGTTAAGCAGGTTGAAGTTAATGTTAATTGTAATGAGCACAATCACACATCTTTGGGATCTTGAAACACCTTAGTTAAAGGATCAAACACAATTTTCTCTTAGGAATTAATGGTAAGGAGGATCAGTAATGGATTTTAAAGGGGAAGAAAGTCTTCAGGAAAGGAAGCTGGCAAAGCAACTAAAAGTAAAATTCTGCCAAAGGAAGAAAATTTGGTTTAAATTTTTTGAGAGAGAGACAATGGATGTGTTACAGACTTTAGTGTAATGTAATCATTTAAAATTCTTTATATGAGCCCTTAGATTTGCCCAACTCTTAGTTGTGCATATCTAGCAAATAGGCTTTGTTTAATACGAGGCACCTGTGCTAGAACCTAAAATTAAGGGATTTACTTTTATTTGGTTGGATAGAATTTCTTGGCATTCTCTGTTTACCAAAAATACGCAGTTGCACCTGTCAAAATTAATTAGTATTTGAATGGTTTGCATTGGCTTAGTTTCTTAGCATAAGACTAAATCCACTCGTGTTTCATTTATCAAGAAATATTCAGAGAAAGGAAAAAATGAAAGCAAGAACAAACACATTTCTCAATTGGGCTTTAGCATGTCTAAAGGGAATAAGCTTGTTTTGTTTTCTAACTAGCTTTTCTTATTAAAAGTTGCTTCTATCGAATGTATTTCTTTACTTCTAAACCACGACAGAACCGCTTTCTCTTGGTTGGTCTAAGTATTTGTTTCCCTTGTTAACTTTCGTTATAGGGCTATGAATGTGCTGTAACAACCATAAACAAAGATGGTTATACGTTTTAAAATTGTACAGAGAGAAAGATAATGTTTTTTAAATTCATAAACCACTATAGAGTGGTTCATTTCATTTAAAAACAAATGTGCTTTGGCCTATTTTATCCCATTTTTGCTCCCAAAGAGGATTTTTAAAATTAACAATGCAAATTTTCAAGTGGGACAAGAGGGCTATACAATAAAAACAATGATAAAAATGGCTGGTGTTTATTGAGTGCCTGCTGAATGCCAGGGGCTGTTYTAAGTCCATTACATGTATACACGTATTTATACCAATGTTAATTACAATCTTTAATCCCCGGTGGGATTAAACCTCAGTAGTCACTATTTTCTCCAACAGATGAAGAAACTGAGGCACAGAAAGGTTAATTAACTATTTTTAAGATCACACAATTAGTAAGAGATTGAACTAGGAAGTGAAAAAAATAATTGACACTTAAGAATTTTCTACTAAGCTACACATAGAAGGGGCTACTGAATCTAATGAGTAAATTCTGTTAAAGAAAAAAAATCATGTATTTTGGGAGTATAGTGATAATTTGTTATTACTGGGTTTATTGTTACTTGAGTTTACCTAAGAAAATACCTTTAAATTTATCTGACATTGGCAACCTTCATTTACCTCCTTTGTTTTTTTTCCTTTTAATCTCAGAATTAAAAGTTCATTTTAGCCCAGTTAGTCTATCTCAAATTTAATTTCCTTCAACCAAAGCAGTTTTCCTGGGAAAGTACATTTTGCCTTTTTTATTATTTTTCCTTCAGGCAAAGAGCAGCTATTCTTATTATTTTTTATGTTTAATAGAGAACAAAGAACTTTCAAAAAGATTGGAAGTTTGTTTTGGATGCTCATGGAAACAGGATGTAATCTAAACTTAGAGAAATTATTTTATGTTTCAGAGTCCATAAATAATCCTACCCTCTCTAAATTTATTAGTTTTCCCTAGGATATTGTACTTAATTTCATAACATTTCTTTTCTGCAAATAACAGCTTCTATTCAAATTTTAAGTCTATTTTACTATTAACATTTAGGAAAAAAAAATAAGTTCTCTAGGAGTACAAACAGGAAAATATGTTGCCCTCAGTAACATGTTTTTTAAAAATTAAAAATTGTGAATATACCAAAGTTAAAAAACTTATTTTGATCCATAATTGATATTTAAAACAATTTATCCAGTCACTTTTAACTACCAACTGCCCAATGTATAATTACTAGTGTCTTCTAGTAGAGAATGTCTATTAATTTTATGAAACATAAAGATAGTGAAGAACATYCTCCCATGTGACCACATTCAAATTGAACCACTCTTCATATGCCGAAGAGACATTTGTATAACTTACCATTCCAAAACTTAGGTATTGCCACTGTGTGCTGAGATGTCCAAGCAAATACTTATGCTGGGTTTAAGATTGCAGCCATTTTAGGAAAAGTAAACTTTCTCAAAGAATAAGGTAAAGGAATTAAAATTTACAAAATTACTCAATTTCACAAGTATCCTGTTCAGAGATTATTCCCTTGCAGCTTTGAAAGTTTAGGGCAGCAAAATCATTTTCTTCATGTAAAAATACCTCAAAGATCAGTACCTCTGTATCACTTTCTTATTTCTCATTTGCTTGTGTCACATTCCATATTTATCCTCTTCCATGAGATCCTGATAGTTGTATGTCTTAAAAATATCCATCTCCAAATCAAGATTATTGCTCCCTTACTTTTGAACCATTAAGATTAAATGGGATAGAAAGTGGTAGAAMAAAAGTTCTTACATTCTGTTTGAGATGATTGTCACCTTACACAGATCATAAACCCTCCCCTTCTACAGGTGTGGGTTTTTTTTTTTTTCCTCTCTCTTTCCACTAATTAGGGAAATAGCCTTAAGTATAATTTTACCATTTATACAGAAGGAGCTACTGCACTGATACACAGCTAAGAGATCTCAGTTTCAGACTGAACTCTCAATAGCAGGTAAGCTTTTTTCCCCCTACTAAAATAGTAAAATCATTAGGTTATAATTGTAGTGAAGAACGGGAGAAATAGAGATGAAGTCCACCTTATGCAGAAAGAATAAGTACATTTTGTTTTGTTGGTTTGTATTTTCTTTTTAAATGTCTTAATATGAGGACAATGAGTGTTATGAAATATGAAACTGCATTGTGATTTGGGCACAACTAGAGTAAGAGTAATCTCTCAAAACCAAAAGCCTTTATAACATAAAAAATAATTACGAACATTGAATTGTGAGTGCTTAAAAAGAAAAGTTTTTCCTAAAAGACCCACCATTGTATTGTAAATGCTGTATAATACCATAAAAACAGATCTAATGTTTATGATTAATATTAATCAAAAGCATTTCAGGTACTTGCTCTAAGGAACATTTCAAATGCTCCAAAGAATCTTCAGTTCCTAAAACTGATATGCATATGACCATTTTTCTTGACAAAGACTTTCAATTCATGAGTCTGTTTTTGGTAACCATTAGGTTAAAGGTGTTACAAACATTTACCTTTCAATTCTAGAACACATACTGATTATGGGGAACYTGTGTTGAGCGGGAGGGTATGGGTGATCTTGTCGGTTTCAGAGTTCGTAGTTGTCATTATGACTTTTTAATATAATTCAAAAATGTGTAAAAATGTTATCTCCATTTGTGAAGATTTCTGCATTCTGTTTGTATCATTAAAAAAAAGATCTTTGTATTTATTGACATATTCCCATAAAATGTGTCACTGTTTACTGAAGGCATATTTTCAAATGTTATGTTAACTATATCTATATGTCTTCTATATGAACCCATGGGAGAAATGTCTCTCATTTTAATTTGTCACCCTGAGTAATTTGTTTGTGAGTTGCAAGAGCTTACTCTAGAGGGGTAGATTAATGCCTGATCAAGGAGGGTTTTGATTATTAAGAATTTGGAGAACTAGACTTTAGAGATGGCATAAGTGAAAAAAACAAGCAAATGCTAAGAAATAGAGCTTATGATATTCTTAGGAGCATCTGAATCATATAATTGATCATGATCATTTCTCTGTGTGATAGCTAATAAAACAGCTCAGAATCAAATGTGGGCTCTTACTTCCTGCAAGTACAGTTGATTCCTGATTGTATATGAAAGTCCTTTTGTTTCATGATAGTAATGTCGAACACAGACCTAGCCAATATTGAAACAACAACCTAATAATAAGTTATGTTCCTCTAAGCCTCTGGTTTCATTAAGTAGGTAATACAAAACCTTATTTTACATGTACTTTTGTTCAAAGATACATCATTTCATATTTACTATTGATTCATTATTATTGATTCATTGTCATTGAACTCGTGGTTGAGAACATTATAATTGATGCATTAGTGAAACTTACCTGTTACATGTATTTTGTCTTTAAGGCCCATTACAGCCATTTTGAACTTAGAAATGTCAAATTAGCACTTATACACTATTTGAAACAGCAAAATCAACAGAAAGCATTAAAAAAAATTTTTTAATGGTACTAGAGAGACCATGAAAAGAACATTTGTTTACAGTAATTGATAGTAGAAACAAGAAAGCAGAGTATGCCCTGAACAACCTTAGTGGGAAGTGTGTTGGAAGAAAAAATTTTACTGCTCTATGCGTGTCTTAAAATTACTGCAAAAGCACTGCAAATATTAATTTGTGAGTTAGAAATAAATTTTAGTGAATAGGAAGATTCTCAAATAATGGAATATGAATAAGGTAGATCAGTTGTATATGTAGGACTATATTCCATGTTTTGTGAACTAACCTCACTCTTGAATCTATATTTTTTTTGTAACTATATTTTCCCTTTGAGCTTTCAACTTAATTTTTCTTCATGTATTTTACTTATTCCATAAGTGGTCTTATATTCTTTGGGAAACAAGCCAGGTAATAAGCCAGCAAATCATCAACAAATACTTGTTATTCCTACTCTTTGCATTAACTACTTTGCTAAGTATTAGGGCATAAAAAGATCTCTAGGCATCAAAGTAAATTAAGAAATTTATGAGAAACTGACCTTTGAAATAATTTCATTTTCTATCAAAAGATATTGAATTAGAATAAATGTGTTTAGTGCAAATACCCACCAAAAAAA